ACCCTCAACTTCACTAGTCATCCTGTCCCACTTGCTTAGTTACCTAATTTCTACTGAAATTTTACACTTCCATTTTAATTTATAATTTCAGATATTGAATATTACTGGTCTGAAATCCCACTGGTTATTTATCCCATTAACTTTCTAGAAAAATAGGTATAATATTTGTTACTTCTTTTGCACACAAATGGTTTTTAATGAAGGGCTATGTATTCTTAGCGGATCAGCCTGTTTATTCTGAAGCTCTTTCAGCATTTTTGGATGCTCACCATCTGGGCAGGTTGACAACTTGCTAACATACTGGTGTCGCTATCCAGGCCTTCGAACAGGAAGGGAGAATGGGTCAGAAAGTCCTTTTTCAATTGAAATAATTCAGTAGGAAGAATAAAGTAAGGCTGAGTTGAAAACAACTTTTGAGAATTCAGAAATTGATTTGATGAATGGGAGATTTGGAACACTAACATAATTATTGCTATCATCCATTTCCGTTTATTTGGAGTATAAATAAACAATTATATGAATATGAATATGCATATTTAGGGGCAAATTGCTTTCTACTGTAACAAATTTGAAGACAGAAGTATTACACTACCATAACTAATTGGAGCAATTCAAAGTCTCAAAGCACAAATACAACACCACTTCTGTATAGCACACTGGAGCTCTTTGTAGTTACAGTTCATTTCAGGAAAATTCCTGAATAGAAATAGGGTTAGGTTTGCCTCTGAGCACTTTGTTTAAGTGAACTATAAACAGAGACATGCCTGTAACACCAGCCATTAGAATTCAGAGTCATCAGTAAGGAAGAGAAGTTGCCATTAGCAGTAAGTCAGGCAGTGTACCACAGATCAGTCGGGAGGAGTTGAACTCCCCAAGACCTCGACATTCATCCGAGAGTTCCCAGCCACAAAAACACATTCAGCCTTTCTAATCAATAGGAGTCTAAATCACAGCTTTACTACCACACTTAGGTCTCCAGATCAGCAGGAATGAGAGGGGAAGGCTTGCAGGCATATGAAAGGTAGTGGGAACTGTTGGCAATATGTATAACAAATCAGAGAGAAAACCTGCTAGGCAGTGGGGGAGGCATTAACAGCTGAGTGAATTGAGTGCTTGGGTTTGCATTTTCCATCTGCTGAACCTGGCTTAATTTCTGTCTGGCCCTGGCAGGGCCCTGGCCCTTTCAGTGGGCGGTAGCGTGCTCACCACTCCCTCTGTGCCACCAGGGCTGAGACTGATGCAGCAGAGAGGTGTCAAAAGGAAAAAAAAAATTCACATATTAGAATATTGGAATATTGGACATAGTGCATTAAGTTTGTAAGCCTCTTACTGTATTGTTCAAGAACTGGGTGATTATCTGGATTTTCAGGGTTGCCCACTGAGGGGAAACACATTATGTGTTTCATGGAAAGGAAAATACTTCCTTGAAAGGGGAAACTTCCACTCTCTTGAGACTGCTGTGGGCTTACATTCTGTTCCTAGTTGTAACATTTTGGGCATGCTGACTTCTCTGCTTTCTCTTGGTGCTATTGTCAGTCTGAAGACTTTTTGTTACTTCTATAGTTTAAATATTCTTTATTTTCCATTGAATGCTAACACAATATGTTTTAATGGTTATATACATAAATACAGCTGTTAGTGAGCTTCCCACTAGAACATATCAAAGCATATCACACATCATTAACTATGCTAATAATTGTTTCCCATCCTCAAGGATACTTCGAGTGAGTGGCTGTTACAACCCCTTCAAATAAAGTTTAAAAATTAAAATATTTAGGAGAAGTTATAATTAAAATGAAATACAAACCAGTAATACATTTCTGTTTGCTTTGTTACTTTACACAACAAGATATTTCCTTACTGAATTTCTTTCTTAGTAGGAAGAGTGCATTTTGGAATAATTTTTCAAATAAGTAGAAACAAAAATATCTGCAAGTCCTAGGCATTGCAATAGACAAAAAAAAAGTTACACACGGTATAGTATCAGGTATTCTGAATGTATTTTATATATCTCTTCCCAAGTAGAGAGGTGCATATTCTTTTATATTTGTGCTCTATTAAAAATCTAATGAAGTAGTTGTAGGAATACAATACTATTCCATTAATGTTCTTTTTTTTCTGTCTTAGACATTAACATGACTAAGCAGCATCAAGGATCAGCAGTATCTGTTAATAACCTTCAATACTGTCTTCTGTAATACATTTAGTACCTTACATACTCTATCAGTCATAAACAAAACAATTAGGGAGTTCAGAAAATCCATTACAACTACAGAAGACAACCAGTCAGCCACAAGTAACATAGATTTTGCTGAAAGAAATATGGTTTTTTAAATAGCATTTTTAAAAAATATCAATGTATATATGATAAAAGGTTCTTTTCTAGTTCTTTTTCTGACTCTTCCACTGATATCAGAAGAAGTACTGAGCAGAGAACCAGGATGGAATAGGCATTAGCTTTATGTTCAGATGAGCTGTTAAGATGCCCAGTCTCTGAAATCAGGAAGAAACAGCACAGGGAGCCACCTAATGAGCCTTTACACTCTTCCACGTTAAGGATTATGAGTTCTGTTCTAAAATTACCCCAGTTCCTTATGTGGTACAAAGAAAAGCTATAGTCACACAATAAGAAACTGGCTGTTGTCCCTGTGAGTCTCCACCTGACATAATGGACTAGAGAAAGGGATTTTCAAAAGAAAACAGGTTTAGATTCAGCATTTTATAGTAATTAGCTGACCTTCCAAAAATGACATAGGCATTAAGAACTTCCCAAATCACTAGTTCTTGACTACAGGAAACATTTTTCTGAAGGAACAACCAAACTCATACTGCCATTGTGTTCTCCAGAAGATTGACCCCTTGCTACCCTACTGTACCATGGCTAGTTTTATATGTATTTTATATGTATTGTGAATGTAAAATTCTAGTGACTCACACCCTTGCAGGCATTTAAATTCCTCCTTTAAACCCAGGAGTAACAGTGAATTCCTGTAAGTCTGTCACAGCATTTCAGAATGAGGTAACTCAGGAAAGCAATCATAGCACTATGACAGCACAGGCCTTAGCCAGCATAGCTGGCTGGCTCTGGAATACATTTCCATGAAATGTAACTTTTTCAAGGTACACTGTGAGGCAATATGTTGTTTGTAAATAAATGTTGGTAGCAGATTAGCAAGTTTCTCCAACTCCACTTAAATTCAGCCAGATGTTTATAATATGTTCATAATGAGAAGGATGCATAGCCATTATCTTTATAATTTGATAGAGAGTGCATGTAGGCAAGTTTAATGGGGAAAATCAGATAAAAACCAGTGCACATAATTCAATAGGACCTTAAGTAAAAGATTGAAACAGAAGACAAGAAGAATAGAAAACATTTAATGGTTTGCTGGTAGATTGGAGATGAGTTCATGACTTTGTATTTCATTCCTTTCCCATGCAAAGGGCACTAAAGAAGAAACAGACAAACTGAGTTGCAAATCACAGATATGCATCCAATGTTGAGAAATAATAAAAATTATTATTTGGGTTCATCTGGGGTTTGAAATCATGCTGATGTAACAGCTATAACTATATAAAGGAAATATGGTTTGACATATAAAGGAAACTGCCAAACAAGAGAGTATTTATTAGGATGATTTTTGGAAATGTATTTAAGAAAAAATTGGGATGTTTCAGCTGTGAAACATAGTTTAAAATCTTTCTACTCACATTGTAAATACTTGTGGAATAGGTAGTTATTAAGCCAAATGCTTAGCAGAGCATATGCAGCTACGGATAAAAAGGCATCAGAAAAATTAACTTATTAGAGCAGCATTGTTCAGGTGAGAATTTTTCTTTTTAAATAACATTAAATACTAAAAAAAACCCCTCCATTCTTTATTACAGAAGCATACTGTTTAGGACTGGCTTCCTAAATATACATTAATCAGCTCACATGATTAGCTGACATGCACAGTATGATTAGTTTTATTCACAAGTCAACATCTGTGAATGGTAGAAATGTCTAGAAATGAACACAGCATTCATGTCTCTATTTTAAAGATGGCACTGAAGCACAATGCTTGGCAACTTAAGTGAATGCAAAGGTGTCTAAAATAAACTTGAGCTTTCCTCCTGAGCTGCACCAAATCAGCTTCAGCATCAGTGTAGGTTTCTCTCAAGTGGTGCACTAGATGAATGCAAACAAAAGACTATTTTAACTTTGAGCTTGTGATAGATTTTCATGCCACATTTAGATTTGGCACAATTTAACAGATATAGTTAGCTTCCCTGGAGTTGCATACACTATACAAACATTGAAAGTTCCCTGAATTTCAGAAGTACCTGGTACTAAGATTCATTCCAGGGTAGTGGAAAAAAATAACTTCCCATTCACTAGCTTCATTCTGAATAAGGAATAAATTCATTGTAGACTAAATAATTGCAATAACAGTGGAAAGACTTGACAAGGACACAGAATTCATGCAAGTGATGTGTGACAGTTCAGCTATAGAAATAATGCTAGCTGAAAAATAAGCTTTGCTTCTAGCTTTCAGCACAGTAACAGCCCCAGTGCTGTACAAGAGATTTGTTTTGTGCTGCTTCAGCATCAGGTGAAGAAACAGAGACCTTTACCTTGTCTTTTTTTCTGCCAAGCTCTTTGTAGATTTTTAGAAACAGCTATGCACAGTACAAAGGCCTATCCTACAATTAGATGTGTATAACTGAACCCTTCATCCTACAAGCACATCTAGATAACTGAATTATTTTTTCTGGTTAGAGATCTGTTTAAGTGAGTGAAGCTTTACATAAGTGCCAGGATTGTCCAGGTGATAATTTATAGGCTTGTGTTTCAATGCAGTATTTTTATCAAGAACTTCTTGCTATCAGTAAAACCCACCTGATCTTTTGTGCCTCTTCTATGCAGTACAACACTGCATTGGGCAATATGCCTTCTTGGCTTTATTTTATATGTGTATAATATATACACAAATAAAAAGTATCACCTGCAAATAATATTTGGAATGTGAAAGACACAAAATGTAAACATTTTATTTGGCAGTTGTTTCAAACAGGTGAATAAATAAATGGAAAAGTACATCTTAATATTCTTTATAGCAACAGATGCAGTTGCACATGTATTTACATATTGTGGATGCAAAGAACAGTTAATTTAATTTCTTTTTGTTAAAAAATGCAACTTCCAACACCACTAGACTTGACAATTAAAGATGAAGATACTAGTAATACTTTGTTCTAGCAATCTCAACTTTTAAAGGCATTCATTTGGAAGTAAGATAAGAGAGTCATCATGCATTTAGTTCATTTTGTCCGCTTACAGTAGAAAGTCTGATGTAATCTCAGAATTATGAGTGTCATGCGCTTAAGTCAACTATGACATGTTTATAAATCAATGTAGTTCCCTTAAAACTTGAAGCAAAGAGAAAATCTCGTTTATCGATGGAGACATGTATGAAAGATCTTGGTGCCTGCACGTTTAATTCTTGAAACTTCACAAATTTTGCCTTTTCCGCATCCCAATAATAGACTTGAGTGAAAGAATAATCACTTCCAAGAATGGCATATTGATAATTATTTATCTGAAGTGGTTGGAATACCATTGACCCTCGGGATGGCATCCTTTGTAAATCCAGAAATGCTGAACCACCCCATTTCATTACTTTAGAGTCCCCAATAAATCTTGTTAAGCAAATGTATACATCCTCTTTCACCTTGAAATGCTTCACTGCATATGCATCTTCCATATCTTGAATATCAAACCGCTTAACAAATTCATTTGTTCCTTTGTTCCATTGATATATTACAGGTCTTTGCGAACTACTTGACAGAATTAAATGTGGTTTGCCAGATATTTCAAGATACTCCACATCAGTATCTCTGTACCAGGCATGCAGAGACTGATGGGAATAAAATCCATTCCCATTCCACTTGTAAACCGTGGTGAAACCAGCCTTTGAACTGTCTGCAACAACAAAATACCAGTCTTCAGCAATCCTGAAAGTTTCAATGTCATTGGGTTTTCGGATTTTAAGGATTTCAATATCTTGAATTTTTATAAACTTATTAGCAAAAATATCTCTTTTATATATGTGGGAGCCTCCAAACAGCTGTGCGACAATGACATACAGCTGACTCTCAATAACTATAGGTTTACACACAACAGTTGAAGTACCTATAAAAAGAGAAGTAAGAGACAGGGTTAGTACCACTTTTTGGATAATTTGTTGAAATGTTATTTGTCAAGCAGTGTTCATACCTGTAATGTTGTCGTAATTCCTGAACATCACTTCCACATGGTCCCATTCAAGAAAGATGCATTTTCCAGTAAAAGGCTGAGCAATAACCACGTGTTCATCATTCATATATGAGAAAGTATCTACTGACAGAGATTGGTATGGCAGGGACTGATAAACTTCAAATTCTGCAAATTGCACAGAACAGATGATAATTACAGAGATACTTTACATACTGTACTGAAAAAACATCTGCTTATCAGATACCAATTTATTACAAATTACAGTATTTCATCACTAGTCGAATTTTTCTGTTGGTAAAGGAGCCCTGCAATTTGGTTTTCAATCTTTCTCAATAAAAAGAGGTACTGTTTTATGTCCTAGTTTTCCAAATCATTATGTAACATACTAAAGTTTGAGTAGATACTGAAATATAGGACCCTGCTCCCAAATGATTCCCATGTCAGACTTAGACCAGCAGAGATCATATTGATTTTAGTACAAATTCCATCCAGAATGCAGTGTTCCTGCAAAAATGGGCTCTAGAATGAAAAACAACAGCTTTGACTTGACTTTAACAAGATGAAATAATTTGAGGCACATTACCTGTAATAATGCAATCAAACTCTTTTGGAGAGAGACTATTGATCTTGCGCTTCTTATATTCTGGTGGGCTTTCACAGTAAATGTCTTCAACTGTTGCATTGGTGCTGCCCAGCCACTCCACTAACCACTTCAGTTTGCAGTCACAATTAAATGCATTGCCTCTAAGATCTCTACAACAAATAAATCATGCATTGAAAATAAGCAGCCAGCTAATGTATTTCTCCTTGAGAACAACAAAACTGGCTTTTGGCTTTTGGCTTTTGGTAAATATGTGCCCTCTTGCTTATTCTTACTTGAGGCCTTCCTGGCTTAATTTATCTGACCCATAGTTAAATCTACATACCAGAACCCACACAGATTTAATTACATTAAGGTAATCAAGAAGACCTCAATTTGGTGATCAATCAGAAATTTTTATCGATTTCCCCAAGTTTACAGGTATGCAAAATCCTCCCAAACTAATGAACCCTGTTTCCTTTGCGTTACCCTTTCTCAGTAGAGGCATTCTAGATAACAAAATAGGAATTCATGTAACCTGATGGTCAGCCAGTCAGTATTCACTGTCTCCTTTAGATACATCATTTAGGGCCTCAGGAGAGACAAGCAGAGGAGCTGTGTTGAAGGCTTTTACAGCTGTCTTCAGTCAGATTTGTGATCGTATGTACAGGAACAGGCGAGGGCCAGGACCAGACTGTGCAACCACCTGGCCATGCTCAGCCTTGCCAAGTAATGCTCCAGATACACTGCCCATGGCCACATCTCACTGCTGCAGCTCTGCTCTGGGGGTTCAGCCTCCCCTGCTCGAACTGGGAGCAGGCAAAGGATTTTCTGAGCTTATTATCCCAGATCAGATGGAATCGCTTGCACATTAAAATGTTACTCCATTAAATATCTTCCACCTTCCCTGCATGCCTTGCTCTCTCATGCATCCCTAAGGATCCTCCCTTCTTATTCACAAAATCTTAATGAACATGCAGCTTTATTACATAACTACTAAAAATATTACTTATCTTCATAACTGGTGGAATATTCAAAACCATCACAAATTCTCAACAACAGCAGACAAAAAACCCAAGCCTATTCATACTGTGTAGTCTCTACCCAGTAACAAGACCCATTACTGGCTTCTGGTTTTAATGGTTACTCAGAATGTGCTCTAAAATAATCTGTTTATACTTCTATTATAATTAAAAGATTAAAAAGATTGCTTTCTTACACATTTGTTAGAGAATCCAAGCCTTTAAATATGTCTTTTGGAAGTGACTGGAGATTATTATTTGCAAGACTCCTGAAAAAGAAAACACTTCATTATTAGTGCTAGTTGTTCATGAAACTACAATTTTTGCAAACTGTGATATACTGTGTGGGGTTTTTACTTATGGCAAAGAACACTGGTATTCTCCAGCACTTAGTTCTGAAAGATTGCTGTTAAGCTCATTTACTTTGTGAGTTTTCCTTCCACTAAAATGCCATGCCTCCTTCTGCTTTCTCACTCTTCAGCAGCTTTGCAGCATTTACAATACTTCATGTTGCAGAGTAAAATGTGCTATCACCTTTGGTGTTTTGCCAACACCATTTAACATTTTAAAAGAATTAGTCATGATTGGATCTACTGATGTTTTCTCTATGAGATCCCAATACATGGTGCTCATATCACTGCAATTTCCCCACTTTCTTGTACCTCTTCTGGAAGGAAAATCTTACTAATATGGGCTGATGGGCTTAGGTTTAGCTCATAGTTTTTGAAAATATGCAGTAATAGGCAATAAATTGCTGATGGGCATGAATTGCTTTCCTGGCATGTGCATGTGTGTATTAGACCAGCAAAAAAATGTTACTAATTCCCAGTTTTCAATGTTGGGAAAACTTGTTTAAATTCAGTGAGTATTCCAGCTAGTAAAGTGACAAAGAAATGTGAGCAGGCTTTGAACAAACAGTATATTACATTTCAGTCTGCCTGTCTCTGCGAGTCTGCCAAAGGTCTCAGGTCACAGAGGGCATGACAGAAGAAGAATAATGTTGTAGGGTATAGTCTGTGCCTCTTCCAATTAACAGAATTATTTATTACTTATGAGAAGAAACAAAAATTGAGAGAAATCATTCTTGATTAAGATCACTGTTAGAATCTGTAGCTAGTAAGACTTAGAACCTCTTCTCTTTTAACTTGTAAACATAAATGTTATTTATCAACCACAATTTCTCTAGCCAAGCAAAGACACTTAGGCACATACTTAAATACAAGAACAAGACCACATGTACTAGGTCTGCTGCCTCATTTAAAAATAAGTGTTTGTCTGATCAGTAATAGTAAATATGGGATGCTTCCATCAGTCTATTCTGATTTCACTACTTTCAAAGTAGTGAAATCTGACTGTAACACTGTATGTGAATGTATCATGTGCTTCACTTATGTGCAATTTTATGCTCCAGAGCAATCCTTTAAAAGTCAGATAACTCACATGGAGAAAGCTGTGTGGACTTGCGAGCTGAGACAAGTTTAATGCCCTATATTGTTTTTATATGTTATTATATAGCAAACTAAAACGGAGGGTGTACTTGGAAGTTGGAGTGGTGCACTGCTGCCATGGGTACATGACTGACAGAGAAATTTAAGCAAGGTTTATCCATTTGCCAATTTTTGAATGAAAATTATGCATTTTATTGTCCACTGTTAAAAAGCATACTTACATATCAGAAAACTCTGTCTTGCCTAGATGGTGCTGTATGTGATTTTTGGATTATAATAAGAGAGTAAAGGTTGGCTCAAACATGCATGTAAACGAATGGTGACAGTTGTGAGAGAAATGCAATCAAAATTATGTATTGTGCATAGAAATTACCATCCAATGCTACCTGTAAGATTCTGACATTAAATTAGTAAATTAGTAAAAAAGAATGCAATCTTTTAAAAATTTTTCTGTTTTTAAATGTACTTTGACCAGCAAATAAAACCTGTTGCACAATAATAAATTCTACATGGCTCTCTTTTACAATAAGGACACACTGTAATTATTGAAGTTAATTGCATTATAAAAGTAAAAATGTTTGGATAGCTTACTGCATTCCAAAATTTATGTTTCAAAAATGAAGTAAATAGAATAAATAGAACAAAGTTCATCTTATCTAACTTCATAGAACTTATTTGCATGCTCATTTACTATGATTACTTTAAATATTTAAATATTTTATGTACACAAGTACTCTCTTGTTTCTTAAATGAAAAGTGCCTCAGGGTGCCAAATGATCATTCTTAATGTGTATATGCAATTTTCCCCAAAAGATGGGGAGTGGTTCTTCAAGCAGATTAAACTAGTGGCGCCTTTGCAGTTATTTTCCACAAATTTCTCATTGTCTTTGTGAAGAGTGCTCCACAGAAAATGGTGCAGCATGATGCACAAATCTGTGTCCCAGAAATGTGCATGCAAATGGCAGTTGCTCCTCAAATGTGGATCTGTCTTTTGCCTATGTTTTCTCTTGTGAAACTCCTGAGGCATCCTCAGAAAGCAATGTAACAGGCAAGACAAGATGGTAGCCTTCCTGTGGAGAAGAAACTGTGCCTTCCTCTGTTTTAGAAAAGCAATGTGTTCACTGGCAGCAGCAGCTACTAAATAAGTAAATGAATATGATAAATAATGTACTGTACCCATTTGTGAATATAAAGGTATTCATGTGCATAAATATTTTGAAGATTGGGTCCCAGTTACCAGCCTTATCCAGCTATATTTTTTTTCTAACAACAGCATAATTCTGCCTGTACCTCTAATATGCATTGCTATGGGATGTGCACAGCCCTTTTATGTACCTCTTTCCCTCTCCTCTCTCGTTCCTCTTCCTCAGACCTAGAGCCATTCCATAAGTAACTTTATCTACATGAGTAGTCACAGTAAGTTTGGTTCCAGCCAGCTGTAAATCTTGTCCTGACCAAAAGGGAAAGCATAAAGTATTTTATGGTACATTTACTAGGTAGTGAAGATGTGGTGAATTGCAATTTAACTATTATATTTATGCATTAACTGTTTAAAATGGAACCTTTGCTTTCTCTCCTTTGTCAAAATATATGAAAGAAAAAGTTAAATGGCCCTGTTTCAAAACCCTCTTCGAGGCTATCATGTTAAGGCGAAAAGGTCAGGATGCCCTGCTTATGACACACACCACATGACATGCCTCAGAATGCAGATGCTCAGAACTGGGTATAAACCCATGTCAGATTTGTGTGTATAAACCCACACTACAGATTTTTTTTTCCTTTTCTTCTTTTGTATTTTTTTTCTGTTTTCTTATAGTGTGTGGTTTGTTTTTTTTAAATGTACTCGTCATTAAATTAAATTATTGCTAAAAGATAAACTTGCTGTAAGATAAAAACTATCTTCCTAGCTCAGAGACAAGGAAGCTACTCTTTTTTGCAGTGAAATGTTGCAGGTGTTTGTTGCCAGTGTGTGTCTCACCTACTGAGCAGAGTGTGAGAAATGCTCCCATGCTGGTGAGGGCATGGGGAGTGTTGATCCTGCAGCTCACTGGCATCCAGAGTACCATGGAGCAATTTCCCCTCCCAGCTGATGCAGCAAGGGGCTGCAGCAGGTCAGAGGGCAAGGACAGCCAAAGGGCTGAGCAGCACACAAGGAACAGTAAGCAAATGCCAGTGTCACTGTGTGACAGGTCCTGACTGTGGGATGCTCCTGCTCTCGTGCAGGAGAGGACAGGGTGCAGAGTAGGGTAGGTGCAAAATGGAAGAAGTAGATCAGTAAGCCATTAACAAAAACATCTTGTTGCAACTCTTCTATTTAAAATTGCTCTGGGTGGGAATTTTCAAGTTTGATTTAATCAAATTCTTCTGTATACTATTACTATCTTAAGTGGACACGGGCACAGACAGTGGTGGCCTGTCCCAAGAATGGATGTAATATTCTCCTGGATCCATGTCAGACTGGGGCACCTGGGAAGAGGTGTGGGTCCATTCCTCAGCCTCTCACATTCCTCATACAGCTGCCACCTTCCTCCTTTCCAAGTCCCAAACTGGGACTCACCTCATCCAGTGCCAAGATTCCCAATTCATACTCCTCCCTGCTCCTACATGCTCAGCTGGAAATCCCCTGTGCTCCAAGCACAGAAAGTCAGGGAACTACTGCCAAACATGTAGTGCTTGGAAACTGTTTGTGTGTCTTTGCCTTCTACCCATACCACAGGAAGTCTTCAGTCAAAACACAAAGATAACATCCTAATCAAATTACTATTAATGCCACTTAAATAAATATGAACAGTTATATATGAAAATGAGAAATGAAACAACACAGTGGTTTAGTTACTATATTAAATATACAAAATAATATATTCAATCACTTTACTTACAGGTGAATTAAAGATTTTAGTCCTCTGAATGTATTTCTTGAAATTGACTTAATGTTGTTGTTCTCTATGAACCTGCAATGGGTTGTAAAGTGATTCTGGTCAATCAATGTCTGGAAATTGGAAGCCCACCCACTCCATTCAATTATGCCAGGAAATACACTTTTGTCCACTCACAAATATTCTAGATGAGGAAGGCCCATGAAAGCATCATCACTAATAACATCAAAAGTGTTGGACGTAAACAACCTGCATAAAGAAATGCAAAACAAAAGACAATTAGGTTATCAGCAGCTTTAGAAAATGGTTCAGCAAGGCCAAATTTCCACTGCCTGGTTTCATGGTTTTTTTTTTCTGTGCAAGCACTATAGGACTGTAAGGCTGATATATTGAACCACAGTGTGGTGCTAAGAGAAGGATCCAACAATTGTCTACTGAGGCCATCTGATAAAATTCCTTTGGCTTCTGTGGGATGTAAACGTGGGTTTATCATGCCAGTAAAATAACGGGATTGTACAAGTGCCTCTGGAGATATACTAGGACAACAATGAAATCTTCAAGTACTACAGAGGTTTCAATTGTCTTGGTTTAAATTGCTGCTTAGACTGATATCAGGTTGAATTTGCAACAATGGCAGGAAGGAAAATCCTTTAACATTTAACTTCTGAGTGTATTTAACCTGAAGGTATTGAAAGTTACTGGGGAAACAAAAAAAGAAAAATCTATTAAATTCAGTCAGTGTTCAAGTCAGAATTATTTTTAAGACCTCATTACACCTCTTGGAAATACTCTTAGTGTATGCATCTAACAGTAAAAATACCAGCAGCACATTTAATTTTATGTAATTTTGTAAGCATTCAAAGTGGACTAGCATTGATTTTTCCAGCTTTATTTATGCTTATCAGCCATGTTAGCATTTGTCCATTACAATTTAGCTCTGGACTGCTATACTTTTAATGTGGTGGACATCATAAAGTACGATGAACTTTACCCCAGTGGAATACTACATGCACATCTATATTTTAATCAATTGACCTGATGGATAAATAGATTTATACTATGGCATCCTTAGACATTCAGGAATGCAAGATTTCCAAGTACTAATTAATCCACTTAATGAGTTAATCTCTTATGTTGACGTTTACATTCAGAATAAATTGCAGGTAATTTATTTTCTCAGTTGGCTGTTGCAGATTGTGCTTTTTCCATTTTCAGTATACTCCTATAAGAAATGTATGAAAAAATATAAGCAGGAAACTCTTCCTTTTTGTCAAAATCAAGAAATATTTCAGTTTTAGAGAAAACAAGTATTTTTATAGAATTCTTGAACCAGAAGACCAATTTATTACATTCTGCAACTAATTTTACTTTTCTGATAGGATTTTACTGGATAATTTTTTTCCTTTTCTGCACTCTATAATTTAGAGAAGAGGGTGGTATCTCTTTAAAATAGTATTGCTATTTTAGAGATTGCCAGGCTTACAGCATAGGTCTTGCACTTGATGATCTCATTTGCCTTCTAACTCATACCTCTCCCCAATGGCTACATCAGATGTATTTGATGCACAAAGTATTTTTCCCCCCAGTTTGTCCTCAATCACCATAATTGCTGCTTCTGGGGACAGAGGCTGAAGGTATGGCGCTGTAGCTAGGGACTGTATCACTTGGCAGGAACAGTACAGTGCCAGCAGGTACAAGCCCTGATGCCATGATTACCTCCCTTCTTTCTGCAGGCTTTCATGTCATCAGTTTATAAGGGCACCCTCAGCATGGGGCTGATACATAGAGATAGAAGTGCTGAAGAGGAGAGCTGGGAGGTTTTCTCTACATTTAGGGAACACTCCTGCTGGCACTCCACCATAGCTGTGTAGGTTCTTTGTATTTTTGTTGTCACATGAAGAGAACAGAGCATACCATCCATACCACACAAGAAGAAAAGCTCTCCTGGACTGGGAGTTATGAGTAGTGTTTAGCTCAAGACCACGATTTTTCCAGAGACCATTGGTGCTACTACATTAAAAATAGTAGTAAATAATAATAGTGGCAGAATTACACCATATTTAGACATCTGTGACTGCTGTATTTGAGATATCCAATTACATTTGGACTTCAAAAATGTAACGCTGGAGACTATTTCTATATGTATTTCTATTATTATAGGAATATATATAAGCTGCTAAATCTTGCTGTTGGCTAAATTAAACCTACCAGTACAGCTATAGTCATGCAAAGCTAAAACTTCCCGAAATGTTTAATTAACGTAAATTTTCCATATTCTTATTTCCCTTACTATCTTCTGCCAAAAATAAAAATTTTCTTTCCCACGTACAGACTGGAGTGTTGTGCCCACAGACACAATCCTGCCCCTATGGCCTGTGTTTAAGCAGTCATTTGCCTTAGATCAGCAGCCTGACATTCCAAGGATGGCAAGCAGCTCAACTACCATGTTAAAAATATATCTGGAAAACACATCACTCATCAAAGCCCACAGTGGAACAAACCCTGCTTTTCTAGGGTCATAGTTTTTGTTGCAGCATTTGTGAACAGCATCACAGAACGTGCATTTCATAGTACGGTAGAAATAGAAATTATTATCATTACCAAAATGCCATAAGATGTTGCCCAAGCCCACTGTGCCAGGCACTATAATAACTCAAAATAAGATGACTGTGTCTGTCCTACTCTACCATGCCCAAATCTGCCTGCTTTGCAGTGGGATTGCTAAGTGTAGGTGGTGTATCGTAGCCAAGAGAGATGATGTCCTACTCGCTCTCTTCAGATACAAGCCCCACCAGTGCTGCTGCTTTTTTCCCCCACTCCTTTGAAAGGCCCATTGCAGCAATTATATGAAATATGTCCCTTTTGTGATCTGTGACCACCTGAAAAAAAGCTTCTCTGGAATAAAGCACCATGGAAAAGCATTTAGGTTTCCATAGTAACTGCATCTACCTATTTACCCTGTATCCAAAATTGTACAGTACGTCTGCACCTCCTTATCAGCTCCACTTGAGGTAGCAGAGTACAGCCAGGGTCAGGGCTTCAGCTGTCGGTATGCCACCAGTTTAATTTAACAGCCAGACAGCTCCAGTAGCTCAGCATTACACCTCTGACCACATCCAGAGCGCACGGAAGTCGGTTTGGGACAGACATCCCATTCTGGTTTTGATCACACCGGGGTGTCTGCCTTGCCGGATTTCTGAGACAAATCTGGGTGTGTGTCAGGCTGGCAGCACATCCACTATAAACAGTTCAGGTTACACCCCCTCTACCTCTGTATAGCTCACAATTATATAATCGTATGCCCACATTTCTAGGAAAGCCTGTGAGCCTGTAAAAATCCTATGTTGAAATGCAGCTAATAGTTAAACATCCCAAAATATTCTCTTTCCGTCTATACCTCATCACAGTATTTGATTTGAAATAACTACTTCAGTCTTTAATTGGAAGAAAATTGTCATTACTTTTAAGACCATGAAATAACAAACAGGGTCAAATCCAGGTACTATGAAGGCAAAACTCCCACTGAAGTGACTAAACTTCCACAGAAGTCAATGGCAATTTTACACAGAAAAGGACTTCAGCACCTGTCCCACTGCAATGAGGGGCCTGATCTGTGGGGTCCTGAGCTCACAGTCGATGGGATTTGCAAATGGACAGCTTTATACTGGGATCAGGTCCCAGGAATGCAGAAAATAAACAAGAATAGTTGTTGCAACACTTAAGTCCTTAGTGTAATGTTAATTAAAGTATAATTAAGATAACAAGCATTCTGTCACCAAAAGCTTCAGCATGTAAGCATTCAAAGTAGTACTGACAACAGACAGCCTTGCAAAATACTAAGTAAAAATTAAACATGCACTATCTTTCAAATTGCTCAAAAGTAATGTATTTTATGATCTAATAAATCTTCTGCTGCTGTTTCTTACGAAATTAATACTAAAACCCTTTCTGAAATATTTATGAATACATATACACTTCACAACAAAAATTTTATCATATAAATATTTCTCACAGAAGCTGCAGAGATGGTGTGAGCAAAAAACTCCCTTCTGGGATTTTAGTAAAAGCAGATCTCACAAAGGATCTGTAAAGAAGAAAAAAACAACCGTATATTAATGTAGCCTCATATATCCATGGTTATAATACTGATCTGGTCATCACAGAGAAATTTATTTATATAAGTAAAAAAAAAAAATTACCTTCCCCCCCCCCCCAAATATAATGTGACAGGTTTCATGTACTATACAAGAAGGTATAAAATGAGATGTGTGCACATACACAGACAGACAGACAGATGAAAGAGATATAAAAATCAGGATTCAAGGATGCAGCACAATTTAACACATTAGCTGATGATTCTGAATGCTGGAGGTACTCCCTGCAGCAAGCATCCTTCTGTATGCACTGAGAACACCACACATCCTAGTTCATTTTAAATCATAAATTAAATAACCAAATGCTTACAGCCCTTACAGTGAGATAACATCAGGCGGAACGCTGCGAGGAATAGATCTGGCATTTTCACATAAAGCATTATCTTTGGTACAAGTACACCAGGCAGGACATTTTGGCTTCACTGGTTTCTTCCCTTCAGTCAGCAAAAGCACAGATAAAAGGCATAAGAAATAAGCAATTCTTCTAAAGGGTCTGCTGGCATTTCCCATTCTTTTGATCCGCTCTCGTTCCAGCCAGTTGAAAGAATATCCCAAAACATGAACAGGGTTCTTTATTCAGCCATTGGATGTCTTTCTCTAAGTCCAGGTCAGTATTTGTCTCTGCTTTCCCAACCCTTTTCTTTCTCTTTCACTCTGTTTTTGTAGATAGAAACCTGCAGCTGATCTGTATGTTTCCACTCACTCAGGCAACGTACTGCTCAGAGAAGAGACCTGCGAGGTGCTGTAAGATGGGGAAAATCCAACCGGCTGAAGGGAGGGAAAAAAAAAAAAAAAAAAAAAAAAAAAAAAAAAAAAAAAAGGAAAGAAAAAAAAGACTTGCATCACCACAAAAACACTGAGCACAACACAGCATTAGATTGCAAAGTGATGTAACTGAGAAATACACTGCTTTCTGTTTTCACAGGGAGGCCCTTTCCCTGTTTCCAAAAATAGTACAGCATTATGTTTTGCTGGTGGGTGGGTGAGTGGGTGTGGGGTGGAGTATATGTGTGTGGGGGAGAAATCAGTCATCTCTTACTGGATCCCTACAACCTCATGAACCTTTCAGAATTATGCTTCACATACTGCAAGCAGCAGAACTAATGGCAGTATCCACAGGAAAATGAAATCGAATGAAACCATCTAAGGCACTGCTGCAAAAACTGTTAGATTCATTTTTATCCTCGGCCTTTATTGCACATATTTGTACCACTGAAAAACAAGCTGCCACACATGGAAAATATTACAATGTATGAGAGAATGCCTTTGACTGTCACTCCTAAACAAAATATTTTCTCATGCAAAATAGACCCCAAATATAGCTTTTTTTTTTTTTTCTCTTTTTTTTTTTCTCCCTCAGAAAAAGAATGCTTCTTATTTGTTGCATGTTTTCTGAGCTGGTTAAATGAAGGCATAGGTGGATCAAGCACAGTTCTATATGAACAACATTAATTTAAAGTTCAAGTTAAAAAAACATATTTTCTTGGAACTGGCTTGATTCTTTTAGATGGAAAAAAAGAAAATTGTCATTTAAATACCAGCTGTGTTAAACCCATAGTTAAGAATGGACCTTCTCTGAAGAGTGACAGGATAAGGATAGATCTTGGTGGTAATAATGAACCTTTACAATACTGCCTGGAGGCTGCAATCGAAATGAGTGCTAGGTGTGGTATGAGTGCTCTGGCAGATACAGTCCTCAGCCTGCAGACTTTACAGTAAAATACATTAAATATTTTATAGGAAACTTAAGCACCACCTAAGTATTACTTTATTAAGAATGGTAAGACAAAGCTAACAAATGCCAAATGGCTGAGAAGCCACGCAGGATGATTTTTTGTTCAACATAGTATTGCTATTAGATGAGTTTTGCAAACTTTAGCAGGTCTTGACAGTTTGTATTAGACAGCTCACAAACACTACTGGGGTCAACCCAGTGGTACAAACATTTAATACAGTCAGGCTCACTATTAGCTCCTTCACATGGATGCTGTCTCCTCACCAGGGGACACTTGATCTCCTGATGAGGAGATCTCTTTTGACTTCTGGTTACCCCCCTTTGATTTCACATGGCCACCTGGCTCTAGCCCATTGCTCCTCACAAAATCACAAGATCAACATCAGGCCACATCTATCTTCCTCAGGAATAATCCCAGCAAGGCCTTAGTGCATATCCAGGTGTCCACCTGGGATTTGATAGGCTATGGGCAGAACAACAGCCTGCAAAACTGCAAGAAATTCAGTGCATGGATACAAGGCAGGACTCCAGCACTGCTGAATCCTTGGCTGGGTGGTGGCTGAGGTCCATCTCCCAGGTATGATGGGGGGAGACACCCAGAGCTCTGAGGGGCTGGATGAAGCCAGGAATGTCCAGAAAGCTTTCAGAGGCAGATGGCCACCTTCAAAGGCCGTGCTAGGAGAGGACAGCACTGCCTGTGCATGGGCACACCTCCTGCCAGGCATCTGAGCCCGCGGAAGAAAGGGCAGCTCGTGCTTCTTAGCTGCCTTGCTTTTTCCATTATGTTTTTATAAAGGTCTTTGTTAATTTAAGTATGGTCCCATGTTTTTGCTCTTAAGAAAACCTTCCCTGTCAGCAGTCCCTCCCTGAAGCAGCACCAGCTAAGAGTGGCAGAAACCTGGGTTATTTCTGAGCCCATCCACCTTCTGTAAGAAAATGGAAATGAATTACAGTAGCCAAGGCACTGAAATCATTATTAAGCAAATGCTGATGCCTTCCCATCTCCCAGTATAAAGGTGACTTCTTGCTCTGGAAATGATCTAATTGTACCTACTGACAGGGAAGCTGGATTTGTAGGACTTGCATAAGTAGGCTACACCATCTTCTCCCCTCCAAGATGTCCAATGGCACAGACATGGTGAGGTGAGAACAGAAAATTCTCTAACTCCTTTTTCCTGAAAGAGGACTGTTGTTGGTTGTTTGTTTATTCCTGGCAAAGCCACCCATTGCCATGGCAATATTTTGCCATTGATGGTGAAACCCCGTGTTTCATTTCCTTTGGCTCATTCACTGAAATCCACCATCAATTACCTAGGCATTTCTCTTTAATTAATACTCCAACCACATTGTGAACCTTCGGAAAACTTTCCAGTGTAGTGTTTTCTTCGGTAACAAAAGCACATTCTGCAGCAGAGCAGTAACCTGACTCCGGTTTTGTCCATGCAGAGAAGCGCCTGGAAGTTAGTTTTCTATTCCAAACCACATGCCAAAACAACCGCTTTTGCAAAATTGCAATATTATGAATATTTATAACAGCCCCATCAAAAGAGAGGCATAATCACATTTTCCAGGGTCCTTTTCTGCCAAGCTCAGCATCTCATTTCCTGCCATGTAGCAGTTTAAAACCAAAGTGGTTCATGGATTTTTAGTGGCATAGCTTGTGTCCAGCCCGGCGACACTTGGCTCACCCTCTGCCGATGCCATCGCTGTTTGTTCGCGGGCCAGCGGAGCGGGCAGCGGCCTGCTGCGCCCACGGACCAGCGCCGGCCCCTCGCTCCCCGCTTGTTCTCCCGGCTGTTTCAGGTACTGACTAGGCACAATGGCATTCGAAATTCATTTATTTTTCTTTCTGCAAGGTTCCAGCAGGGGGGATGAGGGAGTTGTGGATGCGTTCCTCGGTCTGCTTCCCATCACTTGACGTTCTAGCCGAAACCCCTGCACCTCGCCGTGCTGCGGAGGGGGCCGGCGGTCAGGCGCGTTCCGGCCCGGGCAGGGGGACACTGCCGGGGGACATTGCAGGGGGTCAGCGGCTGAGGGACGCCGCTCGGGGCCGCCGCGATCCCCGCGCCACCGCCTCCCGCGGCCCGGGCGGCACCCACACGGGCGGGCCCAGGGCGAGCGGCCGCAGCGGGCTCTGCACCCGTGTGCCGGCATGTTTCGTTCTGCGGTCTTGACCAAGTACGCCTTAGGGACCGATGGTTTCCCACGCAGTGGCTCTGCGTGGTGAGAAACAAACTGCTGTTTCTTCCAGTGTATACAAATTGTCTGGTAACGACAATTTTTGATGATGATCTACCATCTAGTAAAAATATTGGTGCAAGTATATGACAAAATTAAAGCTAGTTTTGACTGCTGTCACTAGAGGTGTTCACCCATCACTGCTTCTGTTCTTTGGTCAGACTCAGCACAACTTACATGGCTTCATTTCTAGAGCAAACATATGTTTTATTATTATTATTGTTGTTATTGTTATTATTATCATCATCATATACACATACATTTTTAACGCATGTTCTCCAATATCTGGTTAAGAGATTAACACTTCTGCAAGTAAACCTGTTTGCTAAAATATTTGAGGACAGCAAACACAGTCAGAACATAGAACAAAAATTATTTTAAAACATATTGAATATTTTTTAAGGTATTAACTCCACACCAACGACTATATTTGCATATTAGCATTAGACTAGAATGTTCTTATTACCAACATATGATAGAATTTGAATAAGCTTCCTGTGGTTTCATGCTCAGTACAGTTCCCTTTGCAGATCCATATCCTGTTAGAGTTAACCTTGATTTCATCCTGCTGTTACAAAACTGTGCTGCCTTTTCTCTGTTCAGAATGAGCTGCCTGTGCATATGTAGCCTAATCCAAAATCCACTGATGGTGATGATGAGACTTTACTGTGCTTGGTGTTAAGCCCATAATATTACAGATGGGCAATAGCCCGAATCACACCCAGTATTCACCGGTCTCCTAAAGAACAAAACATTGTCATTGCTATGTTACCACTGTGTTTGGAGCAGAAGGATTTTGAGATCAAAGATTCCTACAAATACCTCATGAGTCCGAGTTTTTGCTCTCTTGGCTCCACCCTTTTAAGAAATTCTGCAACAAATGGCAAATTTAAAGCAGCTGAGAATGAGGCTGTACTTTCAATAAACAAAACTAAGTCTTGTGAATTCTAAACAGTTCTGAAAAGACTATGCTTCCTGGTGGATCTGGCACAAGAGTCATTGCCAGGAAGAGGCCTTCTGCAGGTTAGGCATAATAAAACTTGAGATGCCTTTACAACAGCTCATAACACAGACAAGCTTGGGAATGATCACAAGACTGCCCAAACCATTTTATTTGGAAAGTTCTGCTGACTTTGCCCCGTCCTGTCTATACAGGTTTGTATTATGGGTATCCTTCTTTATTATACCAGTTTCATTAAAAGCAGAACAACCAGGCCAGTCCCTGTGTCAAAAAGCTGAGGAAATGGCTGCTTAAATGCTGCCAGCTTTGGAGGAAAGAAAAACTTGGAGGGTGGTCTCCTTTCCGTTACATAAAGTAGCCAGTTCACAGGTCAAGGTGGACTTAGAAGCAATCACCTCTGAAGTGAGCTCTCATGGCCAAAAGTTCAGTGTGATGTACAACACCTGCTCCACTGAGCATGTCCTGGTGAATGTGCAGGTGTCTCTGGAACTGCTTGCTGGTTTAGGTACTCCAGAATTTGACCAATGACAAAAAAATATGTTAGGAGAGATGTACTGATATCTGAATGATTTCTCTTTAAGAAAAAACAGAGGCACTGTGTATTTCTTTCAAAGGGAAGCCAGGCAAAATGAATTTATTTCTAGGTTTTAATTTGTTGCAGGTAATAACTTTCAATATCTTTATAATTCTTCATGCTTTGTTTGCTTCTAAGCTGTGTTACAAACCAGTGTGCTTTGCAGAACCCAACCCAGTAGCATCACATTAACTGCTCTCCTGAAAACCAGCCACTTTTCTCCAGACCTACACAAATAGTTCTTGTTTTGCTTCTATTGTCTGTGTTTTGCCTTGAAAATGCTAACAATGGATATTTAAAGTTAGGGGGGAAATGAAAGAGCAAACATACAAGCTCAAGAGCAAAGTAGAGCCCAATTCAAAGATGTATGAAGCTGTGCCACTTCATGGTTCACAGCAGGAACTGATACCACACCTAATACAGGGGGAAGTGTAAGAAAGGAGACCATATAAAAGGACACGAAACCTGCTGCAGAAATTTGGATTTTTGTTCTATCTTTCAAGACAACTCTCATGAAGATTTGCCTGTAGTTTACTCAGGGAAGATCAACTTCTCCCATGTTGGAAATGGGGACGCTTTTGAGACAGTCAACATGCCCATCCATTTCAGTGGAACTGACATCACACTCACCACCTAGCATACATCCTACTGTAAGATTAAGTGCCCTCTGTATGAACCTCCCAGCAAGGAGAAGTCTCAAATATGCAAGTTACTTTTTGCCTTTTTCCCCTCTACATAGCTCTATCAGACATTAAAACCATTATACTAGTGAGAGAATCTATGCTCACTCACCACCTAGCATACACCCTAGATTAAGGGTAAGATTAAGTGCCCTCTGTATGAACCTCCCAGCAAGGAGAAGTCTCAAATATGCAAGTTACTTTTTGCCTTTTTTTTCTCTACATAGCTCTATCAGACATTAAAACCATGATACTAGTGAGAGAATCTATGCTTAATTTGTAATTGCCAGCTTCTTCAGAACTGGCATGGTGATTTTAAGAACACATTTCTGTGTAACACTTTCCTTAACAGGATGGTTTCTCTCATCCCAACTCTTGCAAGTACTATTGATTCTGCTCTCTTCCACAGGTCACTGCTGGTGTTTCTGTTCTAATGCTATTCTCTAAACTGGATTAAATAAATTAGCTGGCAAAAGAACCAGAAAACAAATAAAACCCTAAACAAGCCCAAATCTCTCAAACCCACCCCTTCAACCCCCCAAAAATGGCCAGAGCCAGAACAAACAGCTGAGCACAGGAGTGGGCAGAGAGCATTGGTTTCACTGTCAGACAAAATGCATAGGGAGCTGCACACTTGAGGGGCAGTTTCATGTTACAAATGCTCATATTTAAATGAATCATAGGACAGAACTGGTGACAAAGTACCTCAGTCTCTACCTAACAGGACAAAATATGAACCTCATAAAACACCCCAGTATTTAGCTACCATTGTTTAAAAATTATCGTCTAACTGGAGGACAGACTTTCAGCTGGTGTATACAAACTGACATTTCATTATTACTATGTCCACTTTGCCAGCTCCGTGCACTCTTCATTTGGTATTTATTCATATAAGTTTTCCTTCATGCCTACATTCAAAATGAGGGAAAAAATTCAAAAGAAGGCATAGAAAAGTCAGTCCAGTAAGAACCCTGTATACAAACCAAAATGTCCCAGATTTTCTAGCATGAGCAAGTGCTTTCTGCAGACCCAAAACAACATACTACTGTCAGTGTAGCTAAATGCCATTTAATTGGCAGCTAAAAAAGTCTATAATACATTTCTTCATGGAAAAATGTCTGAGCTCTTCCAGTGTGCCAAGATGCTAATTAAAAACAGACGGCGTGTTACAAAATCCTTTCCTTGACCTGTGCTATCTTACATGCCCTTCTGTACTTTTTCAGGGCATTGGCTCCCTGAAGAATTATTCTAATCTTTATAAACTTGTCTTTAATTTTCTTTGTCATTTTGCAGACAGAAAAGAAGTAACAAAATATTATTTATTTAAATGTACATAGAAAATGTATTTATTACATGGCAGAGACAACAGGCTTTTGAGGAGAAAGTCTTTACTTGTTAAAAACAGGTTTCTATGTTCTGAATAATTTACAATGAAAGAAATCTTAGTGCCACTGAAGTCACTGAAATACTTCAAGTAGAAGCCTTGCTGGAGTGCCATGGACATAAGGAACTGCACAATAGGAAGGATGTGACTCATCAAACACATATTATTGTTTCATCATTGCTAATCAACATGCTTTACAGGGATATGGATCAGCACTGAAACATTTGAAGGGGTTGTTGGTGATAGCTCCACAAGTGTATTTTACTGATGTTTTAATTGTTCTCAGCAACTCAAAAAATTTGGAAAAATACTTTACTTTTTCAGTAAGAGTTAATCCTTTTTACCTTAAGTAAATATCAAATCTGCCACCCTACATTATGGCAGGCATGCTGCCACTGCACAAGCCTAGCACAGATTCTCCATCAAGTACTGCACCCAGCTGAACTCCAAGGTCCCTTTTTCTTACAAACCACATTTGCCCTGCAGAGGAGACTTCAGAGGGCTGAAAATTTCATTACATCTGTTTGCTCATATGCCAATATGCTATATATTTAGTACAGCTTGAAGAAAAGGTTTGCTCTTTTGGCTGCTGGCCCTTTTCCTCTGCAGTGGGAGAACAAAACCAACACAACATCTTTATCTAAGAACTGACTGTAGTGTTAAATATAATTTTCATAGCAACAGAGAAATACACATTTTAGTTATGACTGTGCAGAAGATAAAAGATTTTCCCTACCTTGAACATGGTAACATTCACATTTTAAGTTCAAAATGATTCCAAATTATCCCTTTTCTAAGACAATAATCCAAATACTATACAGCTGACTTTCTTTTTGACGCCAATCACTTGTAGGCATCTGTAAGTTTCCACTGTTGCTGCCCTTGTGATTTAGGCAAAGAGTCATTAAAACTGGAAGGCCTAATTCCCAGCCTCAATATAACACATGAGTAAGAAGTAATAAGCTCCTTCATGAAGCAATATAGCTCCCCAGCCAAATAAATGACACACAGAACTGATTAAACAAAGGCACATGTGGCCTTCTTTCCCAAGATTTTTTTTAGAAGCAAATGGATGAATATATAAAAGAAAGGATTAAAAAAAAAAAAACCAAAAAAAAAAACCAAACCAGGTTTAGGAACTCAAGAGAACAGTTAGCATCACAGAAACTGAAATGTTGGCTCCTAGGCATGGAAAGGTAGACCTGAAAAATTCACTAGAGAATTAGAGAATTTCTTGGAGCAA